GAGCGTCGGCTTGGGGACTGAAGGGTCCCGGGTTCGATTCCGGTCAAGGGCATGTACCTTGGTTGCAGGCATATCCCCAGTAGGGGGTGTGCAAGAGGCAGCTGATCGATGACTCTCTCTCATCGATGTTTCTAACTCTCTATCTCTCTCCCTTCCTATCTGTACAAAATCAATAAAATATATTTTAAAAAAAAAACAATTATACTGTGGCTCAGTTGGTTGGAGCATCGATCCTGAGGGAGGATGTACAGGAGGCAACTGAACGATTGATATTTCTCTCTCTCCTCTCTCTCTCTTTCTCTCTCTCTCTCTCTAAAAATCAATAGAAGCATGTTCTCAGGTGAGGATTTTAAAAAATTATATGATATACCCTATCATGCCATACCATACCACATGAGAAAGGAGAAAACAAACACAATAGAATATAAATGTTGAATCTAGATGAGAGTATACAGTAGTTCATTGTGATTCCTTCAACTTTTTTGCAAGTTTGAAACTTTTTATAATAAAGAGGTGGTGCAGGCAGCTGTTTTGAGAACAGGTAATTGACTATATATCCATTTAACTGCTCTTCCTAAGATCAAATAACCTACATCCCTAGTGCCCAGCATGTGTTCTCTAAACACTATTTCCAATTAAAAGGAACCATGAATCATTGGAAAAAATCACTGATACCAGCTCTAGTCTGGGAACGCACAAAGTGAGCCTGGCAAATTTTATCCTAACAAGGAGCAAGGAACCTTAAAAGGTCATATCAAAAGGACTCTCAGGTGCCAATCTGAACAAGTTCCCACTGGCCAAAATAGGTCAATTTCAGTATCAAAATGTTTAAAACTACCAGTGATTGAGACACATCATATATGTGTTATGAGTCATAATAGTACTAAAACAAATATCTGGTTCCTTTGGACGATGCTAGGTAACCAACTCATTAATTTAAAAGCTGGTAAAATAAAAGGGAAACAAAGCAGCATTTTTCTGGCTTTCCTTCATGAAATGTAGCTCTAGGGAACAAACAGTTACTGTGTGAAAGTTTCTCTTTGTGGAGGTATTTATTCTACCTAGCAAAGAAGGAAGGCTCGAATGAAAATATTACGTTCTAAATCCTATATTAATGAACCTAGACCAGTGGTTCTCAATCAAGGACATTTAGCCCACTTAGGGGAACTGGACAATTATCTAGAAGCATTTTTGGTTATTACAATTGGGAGAGTTGCTACTGGCATCCAGTGGGTAGAGAGAGGCCAGAGATGCCACTAAATATCCTTCAATGCATAGAACAACTTCCTACGATAAAGAGCTATCCGGCCCAAAATGTCAACAGTGCTAAGTTTGAGCAATGCTAGTCTGGACAATGATTGTCATTAATTACTAATATCACAGAAAGACCACCACTGTATGCCTCCTTGTAAATGAACTAAAGCCACCTATAAATTAGTTTTACTAAAAGAATCAAATCTAAATCTGATTAAGCCTCTAACAATTTACCAAAAATTCAGAGCTGAGGAACATACTAAATTACAGCAGTAGAAGCTCAGCAAAATTCAGACTTTGAGAAACTTTACAAGATAAATGACCTGGTTTCTTAACAAATTAATTAAATAATAAGGGAGAAAAGATGGAGAATAGACAAAGATTTTAAAAAATTCAAGAGACAGCCGAAACTGGTTTGGCTCAGTGGATAGAGCGTCGGCCTGAGAACTGAAAGGTCCCAGATTCAATTCCTGGCAAGGGCATGTACCTTTGTTGTAGGCACATCCCCAGTTGAGGGTGTGCAAGAGGCAGCTGTTTCTAACTCTTTATCCCTCTCTCTTCCTCTCTGTAAAAAAATCAATAAGATATATTTTTTAAAAAAAAAATTCAAGAGACATATCAGCTGCAAAGTATAGTTCTTAATTTTTTCAGGTGTGACAATGGTGCCATGATTTTGTTTTAAAGAAGAATCCTTATGTTTTAGAGAACATACTGATAAAATATTGATAAAATGATAAAATGTCAGAAATAGGCATCAAATAACTGGATGGGGAAAGACAGCAGGAGTTTAAATGAAACAAACTGGCCATGAGTTGATCACTGGAGAATCATTGGGATAAAAGGTACATGAAGCTGGTACTTTTACTCTGACAGATCCCTGTACAACTGAGGCCTGAGTCTCCAACAAAATGAACTTACTCTCCCAGGTAAATAAGGGCCCACTGTTCTATTCCCTGCTTATGTTTGACATTTGCCATCATAAAAAGTTTGGAAAACACCAAAAGGATCTTTGAATAGGCTAACGCAAGAAACATTTAAAATTTATCTTAGCAGACCCCTCTGCACTATTTAATGCTGTTCCTTACTGTATTCCATTTTCCCTACCCGCTCCATCCTTAGATCCCATGGCACCAAGCTCTCTAAATTCCCTTCCTATCCTTTAGCTTCTTTCTTCTCAGTGTCCTTGGTGGTCTTCTCTCCCTCCACTGTCCTTTAATGCTGGTTTTCCCCAGGATTCCACTGCCTGCCTATTTCTCCTTCTACACACCCTACTTGGATGATGGCCTCCACCTTCATACTTTTACCATCACCCCTTTGTTTATCGAACTCATGTACCATTCTTTACTCAACCTTTCCTCCTCCTGGATGTTTTATCCCAGATAATATCTCCCCAACATCTAAGCTAGACATTTAAAAGTTATCCTGGCTGATGCTATTTCTCTCCCCGGGACCGACTTTAGATACTAATCAATCAGCAAATTTTCCCAGACGACAGGGATGTTTCCTGCTTCTCTTCCCTATTTATTATCCCTATCCTAGTTCCGTCCCTTATCGTCTCCCAACTGAGTCATGGTCAGAGCCTCCTTCCTAATCAGACTCCCTGCCCCCATACCACCACCACAGAAGGACCAAACTTGGATACAGGGTCAGATACGTGTCAAAGTACCTATTATAATATTATGTAAACTAAATGCGGCATAAATCCCTAGCATGTATCCATATCATACTTCTATAGGGAGCAACTTTACAAATTAAACAGTTGTAGATGCTAACATTAATTGAATGTGAGGAATGAGTTTGTTGGGCTGAGACCAAACTGCCTCTGGAAGATTGGATGTGATGATGCACAAGGTCCAGCCACAGGTTTCTCCGGATTGGTCTGTCTCTGCTGGCTCCGGAGGACCGTGATCATTCCGGTTCTTTCCTCCAAACTGGTGCAGCCCCGGGCCTTCTCCTGACCCTAAAGCTTCTTTTGTCATTGAAGACTGACTTTATTCTTTTCTCATCCTCACTTAACAAGGAGGGCTTGGTCCTAGCTCTCATATACCTGGGCCAGACCTCTAAGTTTCTTTCCAGCTTTACCACAGAAACAGAAACACTACTTCAGAATTTTTCCAGAAGCATTCAGCCCTGCGCTCCTTGCTCCTTCAAGGTCGCACGGCCGCTTTCCCTCCCGAGGCCCCGAGGCCTCCACTCCCGTCGCCATCCATCCCGCCGCTAGATGACGCTCACCCACGCCCGGCGCCGCTCGTCGGGGAAGCCGCCGCCGGCATGCAGTGACGTCACCCGCCCCCGGCGATGATTGGCTGTTTCGCCGGAGGAGCCGGAAGCGAACCGGAAGTGTAGGGGATGGCGAGTTGCACTGGGTCCCGAAACGGTGCGCACACACGTAGGGCCCCGCGGCGATGGAGGCGGCGGCTGCAGCGCCTCCTCCTGCCTGAAGGGGCAGAGCGGGCTCCCTAACGAGCCGGAGGGCGGAACCTGCCTGGGAGGAGGTCAGACCGCCGAGGGCTGGGCCCCGCGGAGGGGAGGAGCCCGATGGCCGGAGGAGTCACCGGGAGAGGTGGGGTCACCCAGAGGTGCACCCAGAGGAGGGGTGTCCGCTGAGAAGTGCGGGTGCGCGCTGACGTCAGCAGTGCGATGCTGCGGGAAGGCCCCTCGGCAGGGGCAGGGGGTCTCGGACTCAGAGGGGAAGGGCCCCTGGGGGGCGGGGCTTGGCCGAGGGGGCAGGGTCTCGCGAGAGGCGGGGCTTCCCCGCAGGTGAAGGCCGCTTTTTGGAGAAGCGGGGTCCTCGGGGCGGAATAGTGCGAAGGTCCAGCCTGGGTGTCACTGGGCGGAGGCTCTGGAATTTGAACTTTGCTCGAGGGCGCCGGGATGGAGTGAGGAGGAGTTGGCGCCACCGTGGGGATGGGCCGGCCCAAGGCTCGCTGCAGCCCGTGGGCATCCCTGCAGCCCGAGCGGGGAGGACGCCCCGGGGAGTCCAGAGGTCCACGGAGTAGGGGTGGAGACACGGAGGGAGGTCAGGCAGGGGGACGGGTGGCCTTCGGTTTGGGTCGGCCCTGAGGGTTCCCTACTCTGCCCTGTGGGTCCATGGAGCCCGGGAAGCGAGCGTTTTCCCGAGCCCGGCCCCCAGCTGACAGGGACCCGCGGGTGGAAGCGGGGACGGCGCTCCCCGGGCAGCTGCGACATCGGACCTGCGCGTCCGCACAGCCAGCGCTCGGCTGCCTCCCGCGGTCCGGCTCCGGCCTGAGTTCGTCCTTTGCATCCGGACGCCGCAGACCCCTCGCCTGCAGGGGGGTCCCCGCCGCGGGAGGGGGTGCGGCCCTGGGGGGCGTGGCCGGCGCCGGGGGCCGGGCTCCAAGGAGTTAAGCGGAGGCCGCCCAGCCCCGCCCCCGGCAGGCCGCGAGCCCGAGCCCAGCGGTGCCGCCGCCGAGCAGCCGCCGCCGCCGCCGCCCGCCTCCGCCCGCCGGGAGCCCGCCTGCCCGCCGGCGCCCGGGAGCGCCGCCGCCCAGGCCCAGGCCCAGGCCCAGGCCCCGCGCAGAGCGGAGCGGAGCGGCGGCCCGGGGCCCAGCGAGCTCGCACGGCGGGGGCGGGTCCGGGGTCTCCGGCGGATCTTCCATTCTCCGAGGCGGGAGCGGGAGCCCCGGCGCGCCGGCCCCGGCTGGGCCCGCTCCCATGGCCAGCGCGGCTCGTCCCGGGCGCAGGGGGCTGGCCATGTGAGGCAGGCCCGGGCTGGGGGCCCGGCCATGGCCGGGGAGCGGCCCCCGCGGCGGGGCCCGGGGCCCGGGCCGGGAGAGGCGCCGGGGGAGGGGCCGGCGGGCGCGGGCGCGGGGGGAGGCCCGGGCCGGGGCCGCCCCTCCTCCTACCGGGCCCTCCGCAGCGCCGTGTCCAGCCTGGCGCGCGTGGACGATTTCCACTGCGCCGAGAAGATCGGCGCCGGCTTCTTCTCCGAGGTGTACAAGGTAGGAGCGGCCGGGAGGGCGGAGGGGCGGGGACCGAGCCTTGGACGGGAGGAGGCTGGAGCTAGGGCCCTGGCCCGGACGGCGCGCCCCGTCCCACCTGCGCGACACTCGCGGGCCCCTGCCACCCCCAGGTGCGGCACCGACAGTCTGGGCAAGTGATGGTGCTGAAAATGAACAGGCTGCCCAGCAACCGGGGGAACACGCTTCGGGAGGTGCAGCTGATGAACCAGCTGCAGCACCCCAACATCCTGAGGTGAGCAGCCCCAGCCGCTTGCTGGGAGGCTTGCTGGGATAAGGGGGAAGATCCCGCCGCCGCCGCCGCCGGAAAAGTGGAGACTGCGGAGAGGCCGAGTGTCTTACAGCTTCCCTCCCTCCCCCCTTCCCTCCCCTCTCACAGGTTCATGGGGGTCTGTGTGCACCAGGGGCAGCTGCACGCTCTTACAGAGGTGAGAACGGGCCCCGAAGGGGGACCCCCATGCCCCCGAGGGGAGAGAGATCAGTGGCCTGGGCTTCTCCTGAGGAGCAGTGAGAGGCAGCAGGACCTCCTCCCAGGGCGTCTTCCCTAAACTTCCCCTTGGGCAAACCACAAAGGCCCCAGCTGTTCGCAGCCTCTCCTCCCGCAGTGCTGTCAATAGAACTTTCTGCGGTGATGAAAATGTTCTGAATCTGTTCCGTGCAAAACCGTGAGAGCACGGAAATGTGGCTAGTCTGCGAAACTGAGTCTTTAATTTTACTTAAACTTACTGCCTTAAGTTGAAGTAGTTGCACATGTGTTGGAGAGGACAGCCCTAGAATGTGGATTTGGAACCCTAGAGCACAGGCCCGCCCACCCCTTCTGACCTTTGTGATCCTCCTGAGTGTCCGATCCTCCCCAGTGTCCCCTGGCTTATAAGTGGGAGACTAGAGTACAGACTGAAACCTTGACATCCATGCCCCTTCTCCTCCCACTCTGCCCAGTATATGAATGGGGGAACCTTGGAACAGCTGCTCAGCTCTCCTGAGCCCCTCTCCTGGCCTGTCAGGCTCCGCCTGGCTCTGGATATTGCTCAGGGCCTGCAGTACCTGCATGCCAAAGGCGTATTCCACCGAGACCTCACATCCAAGGTAGGCTGGCCAGGCAGGTGGAGGCATGAAGGGGGTTCTGAGACTCCCGGGTTGTAACTAGCCTATGGGTGTTAGACTGGATAAGTGTGTGAGGATGTTAGGGTAGCAAAACCTTGGGGGCTGAGCACCATGCTGTGCTTGGAGTGACAGATGATGTTGCAGGATTGGAGTGCACTGGAGACCTGGGAGAGGGTTGGGGTTATTCTGGATGACGGAGGTTTGGGTTATAGATTGGGAGATCGAAGAGCAGAAGGTGATAGGTGTGTGAGATTCTATCTGTGTATGCCAGAATTGTCTGATCCGTCGGGAAGGCCGAAGCTTCACAGCTGTTGTGGGTGACTTCGGGCTGGCTGAAAAGATTCCTGTGTACAGGTGAGCTCATGCCCCTGTCCCCCCAAACCTCCCAGAAGGCCCCTATCTAAGTGAAGCCCCCAGGACATTTCCCCTGGGGTGAGGAGAGGGGCCTCGTCTTTTTGTTTGGGGAGGATGTCTGAGTGGGATGTTTCTGACCACTCTGCCTCTGCCCTGCAGGGAAGGGGAAAGGAAGGAGCCATTGGCTGTAGTGGGCTCCCCGTACTGGATGGCTCCAGAGGTGTTGAGGGGTGAGCTATATGATGAAAAGGTGAGATATCAACCCTTGAGATCCCCAACGTCTTCAGAGACCCTTGAGATATTCTTATAAGTTCCCATCCCAAGTTCCTCAGCAACCCTACCAGATATTCAGGAGGCCCCCAAGCCACCCCCTTGCCCCTCACAGGCACCCCTCAAACACATGGAAACTGTCAAGGCTCCCCGGTGCATTCTGACCTATTCTAACTAAATTCTGACATGAAACCTGGCAGTTCCTCCCCCCAACATTATCTCTACCCCCAGGCCGACGTCTTCGCCTTTGGGATCGTCCTCTGTGAGCTCATCGCACGAGTACCTGCGGACCCTGACTACCTACCCCGTACTGAGGTGAGCGATGGCTCCAGGTTTGGAAAGGAGGACTCCAGACTGGGAAACTTACAGCCAAGAAGGGTTCCCTGGACCTTGAGGTCCTGATTGGGGGAGAAGGAGAACCCAAGGGAAGTTGATTTGGAGGCCCTTCCTTTCTGTCCCCACAGGACTTTGGGCTGGACGTGCCTGCTTTCCGGACCCTGGTAGGGGATGACTGCCCACTACCTTTCCTGCTCCTGGCCATCCACTGCTGCAGTGTAAGAGCCTCGCCCTCCCTGCCTCCGCCCCGTCCATCAGCTGACAGGGCTGTCCTGTCCCAGGTGATGGATGGGAACTCAGGGACCCTTTTGGAGCACGGAGTGAGCTGCCCCTGTCTCTACCCATCAGATGGAACCTAGCGCTCGTGCTCCCTTCACCGAAATCACCCAGCACCTGGAATGGATCCTGGAGCAACTGCCTGAGCCAGCCCACCTCACCAGGGCTCCCCTGATGCACAGTCAGGGTAAGTGAGCACGACCTGGACCCAACTGGAGTCCTTTTGCCTCTCTCCTCCTTAGAACTCAGGGTACTGTCTCGGGGAGACTAAATGTATTTATTAGTTGATAAGGCTGGGGTTAAGGCTGGGGGTGAAAGGACATTTCAAAGAAGATAGTTTTCTAATTCTAGAGCTTTAAGGAAGGAAAAAGGTAAAAGGCAGCTGGAGGTGACGTCTCCTTTCCAAAGCACCCTGTCAGTCTTCCTTTTCTAAGTTCTAGTCCCACCAGCCTCCTGGTGAATAATGAGACACAGAACAAGGATGGGGAACCATTATTCTGCCAAGGGCCGTTTGGATATTTATAACATCATTCGACAGCCATGCAAAATTATCAACTTGAAAATTAGCCTGCTATATTTGGTCAAACATTTATTTTTTAAAAATATTTTATTGATATTTTGATAGAGAGGGATAGAGAGTTAGAAACATCGACGAGAGAGAAACATCGATCAGCTGCCTCTTGCACACCCCCTACTGGGGATGTGCCCGCAACCAAGGTACATGCCCTTGACCATAATCGGACCTGGGACCTTACAGTCTGCAGGTCAGCGCTCTATCCACTGAACCAAACCGGTTTCGGTTTTGGTCAAACATTTAATTAACTCACCCTTCATGCTTGGCAGGGCCAGACCAAATGATTTCGTGGGCCTTATATGCCCCACGGGCCACATGTTCCCCACCCCTGCTCTAGAAGCTATCAATACTGAGAAGAGTGATCACAGACTTCTCTGTTGACAGGGTCTGTCCCAAGAGGGGGTCCCTCTGCCACGCTTCCCAGGCCAGACCCTCGGCTCTCCCGAAGCCGATCAGACCTCTTCCTGCCCCCATCACTAGAATCACCCCCGAACTGGGGGGACAATCTGACTCGAGTCAACCCCTTCTCGCTGCGGGAAGACCTCAGGGGTGGCAAGATCAAGCTCCTGGACACACCCAGCAAGCCAGTCGCCCCCCTGCCCCTTGTGCCACCATCACCACTGCCCTCCACCCGGCTGCCCTTGGTGACGACTCCAGAGACCCCGCTCCAGCCTGGAACACCTGCCCGTCGCTGCCGCTCGTTACCATCATCCCCTGAACTCCCCCGGCGCATGGAGACAGCACTGCCAGGCCCTGGCCCTCCCTCTGTGGGTCCCGTGGCGGAAGAGAGAATGGAGTGTGAGGGCAGTAGCCCTGAGCCAGAACCCCCAGCTCCCCAGCTGCCCCTGGCTGTGGCCACAGACAACTTCATCAGCACTTGTTCATCAACCTCCCAGGCCTGGTCCTCCAGATCAGGACCTCCCCTTAACAACAACCCCCCAGCTGTGGTGGTGAACTCCCCACAGGGCTGGGCCGGGGAGCCCTGGACCCGGGCCCAGCATAGCCTGCCCCGGGCAGCGGCCCTGGAGCGGACAGAACCCTCGCCGCCCCCTTCAGCCCCTCGGGATTCCGACGAGGGGCTACCCTGCCCTGGCTGCTGCCTGGGCCCCTTCAGCTTTGGCTTCTTGTCCATGTGCCCCCGCCCCACACCAGCTGTTGCTCGCTACCGCAACCTGAACTGTGAGGCGGGCAGTCTCCTCTGCCATCGAGGGCACCGTGCCAAGCCACCCACACCCAGCCTTCAGCTGCCTGGGGCACGCTCTTAGCAGTGGGGCCTCCAGCTTCGGCCTTCAGGATGCCCTGTGAGGACTGCACATGCTCGACAGTGCCAGCCCCTGATGGGCTGACCAGCTGCTTCGTATAAGGGAACCTCAGCATGGACTCAAGGGACAGAGCATTTCCTCTCCACCCTGGGCTTGCTGTCCCAGGGGATCACACAGCATTGCTGACACACGAGACTAACACGTGCAAATTATTTAAAAATATTTCAATAAAACTGCCTGGCTGGCTCCGGGCTGCCCCTATCCGCTCAGCCCGTGCGCCCTCCTCCCCTCAGACCCCACTCCACTGCGGGAGGTTCTTGGAGGCCAAAATCTCTTCTGTACCCTTTTCCCGGGAATAGTCCGGTTTCTGGGGCAGAACTTGAAACAGGCAGCAGGCTGCCTGGAGTGCTGGGCACAGACGAGCCCTTGGCCAGGCACTATCCAGGCAGAGGGAGGAAATGCTGGAGAGAGAATCATAGGACCTGCCACTGCAGGTTAGGGATGAAGGGCGCAGGCTCTTGTTGGCATGAGGATCTGGAAGAGTAAAATATCAATGAGCTCCACTGTTGACTGTCACCAAGAACCCTCATCCAGCTCCCATCACCAGCCTCCCTTCAGTTCCAGGCCTTCTCCGCCCCTCCCTGTGCAACACCCCCCTTACACAGTATGCCAAGCTCCCGGAGGCTGTGGACGGGACTCACTCCCAGGAACACGTGCCCCACCCCCTCCCAGCAGCTGGACCCCTGCTCTGAGCCCCTGTCCTCCCAGCCTCCCAGCCCTCACACTTACTCAGCTCAGTGGTAATCTGAACGCCTAGTAGATGCCATCTCACAGATGCAGGGAAGAGATGTAGCACACTCTGTCTGGGGTGAATATTTTGGCCACTTGTTTTGTACAAAGAGACATTTTTTGTTTTGACCATGATACCTAAAGACAAAATAGAACTGGGATAGGCTCTGGCCCCCAACCTTCCGCTCCCTCCTCTCCCCTTGCCCTGCATAAAACTTAGCCCAAGTCCCAACTCACCCTACCTACCTAGGGCCACATTTGGGTGTGGGTCAGGGACAGATGTCTGGACTCCAACCCAAAGAGCCTTTAGGACCAGGGGAGGGGAAAATCTCCCAAGGTCTTAAGGATGGAAATTCCAGTTGGGGAACAGGTGGCCATCCTGTTTCAGGGTCCCTGGGGTTGGTCCTCAAAGTTACCTCTGCCCCTTTACTCCCCTGGAGCAACTCTAGTGCCCCTAGTGGTCCTGACTGTGAAAGTACACCTCCGTTTGGTAGCCTTTTCAAGGGAGGGAGAATGCCAAGGCTCTTCTTCAACTGTGAAGCCCTAGCTTCTGAGAGAAAAATGACATGGGTCCCAGTCTAGTAATTAATAAAAATAAAGCACGTGCCAGGTCTGCTCTCTGGGGGTAGAATAAAGGACAAAATGCCCTAAAGAGTTTGTAATAGAGGAAATTAATTGACAGGCAAGCAATTTCAATGTTGATTTGTGAAAGGTTTGGGAGCGGACCTGAAGGAGATCTCAGTACTATGTCTGTTTGAAGGGATTATAAAGTTGAAGATCCCCAAAGTCCTAACAAACTTACCCAGAGGCTCTTTTACCATTAATCCAATATGAACCAGACGAATCAACTTGTTCCAACACCTTATATAAGTTGCTGACATAAAAACCCTGAGGGGAGATTCAGAGATGTGTGGAGAGTGATGAGAAATAGTGGAATGGGGGGAAGGGTAGAAGAGGGAACCTGGGCTGATGGAAGAAAATAAATAGGGAAATCCAGGAGCTTTTTAATATATATATTGGTTTCAAAGAGGGAGAGGGGGAGAGAGAGAGAGAAACATCAATGATGAGAGAGAATAATTGATTGGCTGCTCCTGCTCACCCTCTACAGGGGATTGAGCCCAAAACCCAAGCAAGTGCCCTTGACTGGAATCGAACCTGGGATCCTTCAGTCAGGCCGAGGTTCTATCTACTGAGCCAAACCAACTAGGGCAATCCAGGAGCTTTGATAAGAGAACTGCCCATCTTTGGTGACCTTCCCCTGCATCCTCCAAGTGCCACCCTGCAGATGCAGCCTCACCCTGCAGTGCCCCTCCCAGCTGGGTAAGAACTTCTGCCACCTGTGAAAGGGAGTCATTCTGGGGCCTGCTATGGTCACAAGGAAACAATCCCTACAATCCAGCCCACCAGGTCTGGGGCCTCTGCCTGCGGGGTCACGACAGTCAAATGCTTTGTTAGGCAGCCCAGAACACTGAACAGAAAGCTGAAATGAGAAACAGGTAAAAGTAAAGATGGCTCATAAGTCAACTCTCATGCCAACTCCAATCCTTGGGGCTGCCTGAAGCACTGTGCTGAGAAGCTGCACAGAGAAGGACTGCATGCTACAGGAAGCATGCCATTGTGCACTGCCATTCCTGACGATGGCATACGGGCCTTTACCTAATAGTACCCATGGCTGTCTCTAAATAAAGGTATGCTTACTGGATAATAATACTCAGTGGCCACAACCGTGGCAAGGTTGGAGGACAGAGATTTACAATAGCTTTGGCTGTCTTCCCAACTTCTTTTAATAAGTGAGATGTAAAAGCAATTCGTTGCCATCAGTATCCATCCCAGGGGACAGCAGATTTCTAAAAAAAACAAAACAAAAACACACAGAAAGAGTGTGACAGCACAGCACAGACCCAGAGGGAGATCTCAACACTTGGAATGAAAGTGTTGCTCAGCGACCTAGTTGCTAACAGTGGTCTCCAGTCTCCTCTCAGCCCCTTCATTGACTTCTAGTCATTGATCTTTGCAGCCTTTCCGGAAATGCCAAACTTGCATATACTTAGTAAAAGCCTTAACATTCCACAGCTTTACACCCAACAACCCGGGAGGTTTATTTTATTTATTTTTTTAATATATTTTATTGATTTTGTACAGAGAGGAAGGGAGAGAGAGAGTTAGAAACATCAATGAGAGAGAGTCATCGATCAGCTGCCTCTTGCACACCCCCTACTGGGGATATGCCCGAAACCAAGGTACATGCCCTTGACCGGAATCGAACCCGGGACCTTTCAGTCCCCAGGCCGACGCTCTATCCATGAGCCAAACCGGTTTTGGCTCGGGAGGTTCAATAGGGCTAGCGGTACCATTCCCAGTCACACCTCAAGCTGCCAGCCAACCTCCTGCCCTCCGCTCTTCCACAGGTAGTCGGCCTTGGTTCCCATTTTGCTGAAATTGTCGGACACTTGATGTGAACTCTCTCCATTTCCCTTCCCTCCACTCAAAATGTGTCTCTTCTCTCTTCCTCTTTCCCTGACCATCCATAAGAAATAACCCACTTTCTTTAACACCCTACCCCTCAATCTGTGCTCCTGAGCCCAACCCACCTCTCTCCTTGCTTTGTTCCATTAGTACTACCCTGTCACTCAAAAACTTTCCTTCTCCACTCGCTCCTCTTCTGTCTACATTTCCTCATGTGCCCACTCAACTACCCTCCAGAATTATAGTCTTTGCCCCACCACCAGACTGCCCTTTGAAAATCAGTAATTTATTTTTTAATTATTTTTCCCACCATCATTTATCCCTCATCCACCTTTCTCCACCTCCACCCTCCCTCTTCCCTAGTATATCAATAATTTAAAGGAATAAATAAAAATTTAAAAAAGTTGGTCTGGTCAAACTGAAGAGGGTGAGGGGAGAAGTGGTATGCTGAAAGGTAGGCAGGGGCCTTGAAAGCCATGTTAAGGGATTTTTTAAAATTTTTATAAAGGAAGAGAAAGTCAGTATGGGGTTTACATACAGGAATTTTGCTCGCTGCCTGTATCCCAATGCCTGGGCACAGAGCTGGACAGAGAGTATGTATTCCACAACCTTTGATTAATTAATTAACTGGGATGATATGCTCAGGAGTTTGTTTTTAAAGGATTACCCTGGCTGCAATATGAAGAGTGGAACGGGGGTGTAGGGGGATGTTTAGGGGAAACAACCAGCAAGCTGTTGCAGTTATCCTTGCAAGAGATGGGAGTGGGCAGAAATGTCAGCGGACATGTAGACTGGGTGGTGGAAACGGAGGGCATTCCTCTCTAAGGGAACAGGCTTCTGCTGAAAGCGGGAATGGGTAGTAGGGTAAGTTCTCGTGCAGAGCAAGGCAACCGCTGCAGAGATGCCAGGCAGCGCTGAGGCCCCAGCTGAGGTTGAAACTAGAGTTTCAAGGGCAGCGAGCTGAATGTTGGCACAATGTGACACCTGGGGCAAGGTGGGCAGTGGAGTTCATCTGGAGTTGAGGCATGGCCAGTCAGGCACACCAGGACAGTGGAACAAAGGAGTGAGTGATCGGAGAGACGGGGACCCTTGAATGCAAGAGGGGCAGAGAGAGGTGAGGACAGGTGAGGGCTGCCAGGAAAGGGGAGGCAGGGTTCTCCATCAGCGGAGAACACCGTGAGGCTCAAGAAAGTGCTGCGGAGCCTGGAGCAGGCGGCAGTGGTCAGAGCGGAGGTCTGAGACCGTCCTCTCAGCAGAAGGGCAGTGTGGGGTGCTGAGCTCAGGTGCAGCTGTGGGAGTGGGGGGCAGCGTGGCATGGGACAGGGGGTCACAGAGATTCAGAAGGTAAAGAATAAAATGAGGTTGGGGGTGTATGCACATCATCTCCATCCCTCATCTCTCCCTCCCACCTCTCCTCTCCCAGGGCAGATACCTTGAGAGAGGTGCTGGTGGTGTTCCAAGTTGGGACTCCGCATTTCCGGCATTTCGGGCAGGCAGAGGGGCCTCAGCTTCTCCTGCAAGCGGTTCAGCTTCTCCTCCAGCTCTATCTTCTGCGTCTGCTGACTTTTCAAGGTCTCCTTTGTCTCCTCCCAGCTGGTCAGCCGGGCCTGTGACTGCTCCTTGATAGCCTGGCAGTCCCGCTGCTCCACCTGCAGCGCCTCCTGCGTCTGGGCCAGCTCCCTCCGGGCGCCCTGCAGTTCCCGCTCCCGCTGGCCCAGCTGCCAGCTCTTCTGGAGCAGCTGCTGCCGCAGGCTGCTGTTGGTGGCTTCCAGGGCCCTGTGCGTGCGCTGGAGCTGCTGAGACACCTGCAGATCTGTTTGGCCAGAAAGAGAGCTCTGGGTGGCATCCTCCTCAGCCGCGCCCTGGTGCCCTGCGGTCCAGCAGCGCCAATCCTTTCCCTGTTGCTGGCAACTTTCTGGGAAATGTAAGCTCTGGCTGCCTGGAGTTTAAGGAGTTTAAGGACCAGGTGAGCAAGAGCTGGCTGGACACCAGACCCAAAGCCTAGGACACGGTGGCCCCAACTCCGGGCCCTGCTGAGGGAGGACAGCTGTTGGGGGGCACAGGGGAGGGGGTGTTTGGGGCGGGGAGGTGAGAGCCGTACTCACAGCGCACTCCCAGGGAGATGGCAGCCATCCCCAGCAGCAGGCAGGTGAGGAGCAGGCCCAGGAGCAGGTATTTGGAGCAGGTGGAGTGGCCTGTGGGACAGTGTGGCCCGGGGCGCAGTGAGCCCCAGGAACGAGTTTACAAACCGGGGGGCGGGGGTGTTTTGGGAAAAGCGCGGGAAGACGGTACGGGTGGGGAGGATGGAGGCGCCCCTAGCAGGAGCCCTAAACCCCGGGCCCAGACAGAGCAGAGCGTAAGGGAATGGGGACCATCCTAGGCGTGGAGTGGGGAGAGGACCTGGGTGGACGCCTCAGAAAGATGGGGTGAAAGGGGCAGGGGAGGGGGTCGCGGGACTGCCCGGGATGGGGTACTGGCGCGCTCTTCCCTCCTCCCCCCCCACCCCCGGCCCGCACCCAGGCCCAGCACCCCCACCCCCGCTATCTAGCCCAGCCGGGCCTGGCGATCCGCGCGGGGGGCGAGGCCGCCGAGCCCCGGGCCCCGCCCCGGGGAGGGGGAGGGGGAGGGCGCTCACCGCCCGGGAGCCGCCAGGCTGCGGGGGACGTCACGGAGCTCCAGGCCGCGGCGGGCGGCTCCGCCTGCACCCCTGCGCGGCGAGCGGGTCCCGTTAGGAGGCGGGGGCCCCGGACATGCCCCTCCGCCCCCCTCCCGCCCGCGCCCTCCGAGTTCCCGGCTCCCCGGACTCTCCGCCGGTCCGAGCCTCCCCCGTCTTCCCAGGACCCTGTCCACCCCTCTCCCAGGACTGCTCTCAGCCCTGCCCCCTACCCACCTCCCCGCCCCACTCCCCATTTCCCCTGGGGACGCCTCTCCCCGCTGGGCTGCCGGGCGTCCCACCCGCCCCCCAGGGGCAACGCCATCTATCGGGGCTCCTTCTTTCCTGGGAGCCCCCTCCTTTTCCCAAGGATATTGTCCTCCAAGACTACTCTGGACTCCCCAGCTCAAGACCCAGCGCCCCCAAACGCCCCTCCCCTGGGCTCCCTTACCGGCCTTGTCCCCTGGCCCAGAGGCGCCCAAGCTGGAGGCCCCCCCTGAGATGGCGGGCACTTGCACGTTCTCATAGGTGAGCTCCCCGTCGTCGTCAGCCTCGGGGTCTGCAGAGGAGAGAAAGGGGGCCGAGGTGGGAGTGGGGCATGGGGGTCTGAGAGGGGTGGGGCGGGGTCTCCTGCCCCCCCCCCTCCGCTGCCCTTACCCTGTCCCAGCGGGCTGGAGCCCCTCTTCTTCAGGGGCGCCTTCACAAACCGCAGGTCCGCGTAGGTGACAGACTCGGCCATGGGTGGTCCAGGGCACCTCTGCCCCACTGTCTCCCTTCTCCCCTTCTCTCGGCACTCTCCCCTCTGCCCTTTCACACTCAGGCTCTGCGGTTCCTCCGTGACTGTACGGCTTAGTGCGTCACCCTGTGACTTCTAGTCACAAAAGAGGAAGATGTGAGCGGTCTCGGACAGATGGGCTCAGTGAAGCAGACAGCGTCCTGAGCACTGACCAGAGGGGCAGGGGAGGGAGGCTGAGGCCCAGAGCCCGGCTGGGCCGGGGCGCCACAGGACCGCTGCTCACTCAGGCCTGCCGCACCCTCTCTCTCTCTGTCCCACCTTCACCGAGGCCAGGCCCAGTGGGCAGCGCAGAGCTCCAAATGGCCTTCCTCCGGCCACCTCCCCGGCCCTGCCCCCGCTCCTCTCCTGGCTGCCGTGTCCGCAGGCTTTCTCTGTGTGGTCAGAGCTCCTTTCTGCCCCACTGACCCCGAGGCTCTCCCCAGCCATGGCTCCAGGCCGGGGCTTCATCCTCCCCATCAGACTGGGGGGCTGTCGTATGGAGCCCTAGCTCTCATCCTGGGGCTCCCAGGAGGTATGGGTTCCCGAAAGGAGTCATCATTTGGAGGACTCATCTCCCTATCAGTTTGGGGACTCCCAGGGCGAACCCAGCTCCCGTCCTGCTGGGGTCCACAGAGCTGCCGAGGGTCTCATTCCAGAGCTCTTCCTGGGAGCGGCAGTCTTTGGAGGATGCAGAGACTCTGGGACCACACTTTCCCCTCTGTGACACCCCAGACCCCACAGTCTTTCTTAACCCCTTCTCCCCTTGTTGCCCTGCTGACCGATCACACCTGTGTCAAGTCAGCCCCTTCTGGGTCCGTCCCCTCCTGCCCCCTGCTGGGCTCGTGGCATCTCCTGTGTCCCAGCATCTGAGCTGGATCCAGCCAGCTGTCCCTGAGGCAAGGGCTCTGAGCTCGGCCTGGGCTGGGGTGAGGATAAGGGCAACCCCACCTAGTGCAGCCCTGGAAAAGCCTGCAGCGCTAACCACTCATGCACCCTGTGGGGGGCCAGGGGGCAGACAGCAAAGGAGGTGCCGAGGTCCGGAGGGCTGACAACGGGAGGCCAAGGAAAGAAGCAGAGCCGGGTGCAGACGCCGGACCGGTGAGGCTTTGATTTTTCTTGGCTTGATTTTGGTTTCTTTCTTACTTTACTAGTAACATCTTCCTTTAAAAAGCCCCAACATTGTCCCTTCATAAGGAAACTGTCCCAACACCCATCCTCGAGAAAAAAAGGGGGCATTTATGGGGAAGACCGGGGGCTGATGGGAGAGGGGGAAGCAGGAGGCGGCTGGTGAGCGATGGTTCCAATGGGCTCTCTGATTCTCTTTTTCGGTGGTGAGTTAGACTGTGACCCCCAAAGGGCCTGGTTATGGGGGTGGGAAAAAGCTGGGACAAGACAAGGTCTGGGTGGGGGAAACCCAGCCCTAGTGGGTGGCGTCCGCCCCCTCAGAAACACCCCCGGCACCTGCGGGAGGAAAGGGGAAGGCAAGCTCCTCACCGCCTGCTAACGGCCTGTGTGCGCTCAGTGGTGTGTGGAGGAGGCGGGGCGGCCTGTGGGTCTGTGGGGAGCTCTCACTGCGGCACCCCGCCTGCCAGACACTGCCACTGAGGCACACGGGCACGCCTGCCACCTGAGGCCGTGTGTGTGTGTGTGTGTGTGTGTGTGTGTGTGTGTGTGTGTGTGTGTCTATGAGAGTGCTTGAGTGCAGGCACCACAACCCTGGCTCTTTGTGGTCTCTCAGGGATGTCTGTGCATGACGAGAGCATCTAAGCTGGCCGGAGGATGGAGCACGGAGGATTCTGTGGGGGTAACGGGCGCCTGTGCGAGCTGTTATTTTGTTCCACGGCAGGGAGTTTTCAGAAAAGTCTTAAGAGGTCGTGGGGACAGATTCTACAAATGTTTCCTTTGTAAGGCTCGCCGTTTCCTAAGGTGTCTCTGCAGCTGTTAACTGTCCTTGCTTGATTAAAGTTTCCAACAACCCCGTGCCCTCCCCCGACACCCACGGGGCCTCCCTCAGATGGCAGACAGCGGGTGCTGGTGACTCCCCGGGGAGGGTGTGAGAGTGAGTGGGAGTGGGAGGGCAGCGCAGCTGGCGGCAGCGGTGCCATGGGGCACTGTGTCTGTGGTGAACCGGAGGTGGGGGCAGCGTGTGGGAGGGTGTCTGTGGTGAGCAGAGGTGGGGGCAGCGGTGGGAGGGTGCCATGGGGGACTGTGTCTGTGGTGAACCGGAGGTGGGGGCAGCGTGTGGGAGGGTGTCTGTGGTGAGTGGAGGTGGGGGCAGCGGTGGGAGGGTGCCATCGGGGGACTGTGTCTGTGGTGAACAGGCAGGGGCAGTGTGTGTGTATAAACCAATGGTGGGGACACTTGCAGAAATGCTATACACTACAGATAGTGTTCCAGTTTTCAGAACCAAACTCAAGTGAACATGGCTTGGATGCCAGATAAAATGCCAAAACCGAGATTTTAGCTCGTGCTTGAAAAATAATCAATGTGGCCCTGGCCAGTTTGACTCCGTGGATAGAGTGTCATTCTTGGGACCTTTGAAGGGTCCTGGGGACTGAAGGGTCTCGGGTTCCATTCTGGTCAAGGACACATGCCTGGGTTGCAGGCTCGCTTGCCACTAGGGGGTGAGTAAGAGGCAGCCAATCAATGATTCTCTCTTATTGATGTTTCTATCTCTCCCTCACCCTCTCTAAAATCAATAAAAATATACTTTTTAAATTTTTCTTTATTGATTAAGGTATCACATATTTGTCCTCAACCCCCCCATTCCAATCCCCCACCCCCCTATTGTCCTTGACCACTGGTTAGGCCCATATGTATGCACATAAGTCCTTTGGTTGATCTCTCCCTTTTATCTCCATCCTCCCTCTGAGGTCCACCAGTCTGACCCATGGCTCCTTATCTCTGGGTCTGTTCTTGTTCATCCGTCTATGTTGTTCACCATTTCCCCTAGATAAGTGAGGTCATGTCCTACTGGAAATATACTTATAAGAATCAAAAATGAGACAAGCAATAATCGTTATGCTAAAAGGCATATGAATCAGTCTGTGGTGAGTTTCTCTCTGGACCACCCGTTCTTTTGAGACTCAATTTCAATGTCAAACAGTTCCTTATGTGTACATGTCAGCGATGATATTTCAGTTCTGGATGGTGGGAAAAAATATACTCAATAAAAAAGAATCAGTGGGCACGCTGCCTAACTTAGCCCTTGGAGGGGCTCAGGAAGGGGAGCGCCCGGTGGAACCAGGATGTACCAAACGGCACACCCACAGCGGCCTAGCTTCTTAGGTGGGCTTGGCCTAGGTCCCTCTCCTCTTTGGCTCTGTTGGCGATGGTTATATCTCCTTATGGCAGTCTGCGTTCCCCTCCATCCGGGACTGTCTGGTGGCCTTCTGTTGTGAATAGGGGTGAGATCAGGATCCTTCTCTTTCCCCATGTGGTCTCTGCAGTAATGACACTCATTACCTTTTCAAAACTGGACACCAGGAAGAACACCTGAGCTGCACCCCCCCCCCCCTGCCCGCCTGTCAACAGCACCTGGGCCTTTTAAGAGCTGAGGGGCCAGTGCTGGACCACTTTTCCCAGACCATAATATCGTCTGCCGCCCCAGAGGACAAACACCGAAGCCCGTTTCTTGCCTTCTCCTGACCGCTGCTGCTTATCGCGGGAAATGGGTTGCTAAGGTGTCAAGAGGAGGGAGCCAGCTGCGAGGGCATCGGGAAAGAATTTGCTGGGTAACGGGGCTCATCTGGATCCACTTTGGTGAAGTGCAGCCAACACCAGGAAGTCAGAGAAGCTCTCGACATCCTGAAGTCACGTTATCTCTGACTTATTGCCTTACCCCACTGGCTCCGAGACGCCCAGGCTATGGATCAGGCATGGGGGGGGCAGAACAACGGCCTCCCCAAAGTGTTCCCACTCCAATCCCGGGACCTGTGAATGTGCTACTTCACCAGACAGAGGCAGTTTGCTTCAGGGAAGAGTCTTTAGACGGGGAGACCATCCTGTCTTTTCCAGTGAGCCCAATCTGATCAAATGAGCCTTTGTGGGGTTTTTAATATTTTTTGTTGAAAGTATTACATATGTCTTCCCCACACAAAAAGTGACCATCGCCCTGAGGCTCCTGCCCACTTCTTGACAGGCGGTCCTCACACCACTTTTCACCTGCCACTTACTGCCCTGGTTGGATATCAGTATCAGCACCGTTTTCTGCCTGGTGTATCTTTACCACACCCTTATTTTGCATCTTTATCACTTTTTAAGTATCTTTCTTTTAAGTAATATGGACCAGAATTTGATTAATAACAACATCTGACACTATTTTAATGGAAATGGAAGAATTCAGCCCACACATATTTATTGTAATGAGTGATGTATTTGATTTATTATTTCCATCGTAGTTGGTTTTAAATTTTTTTGCCGAAACCGGTTTGGCTCATTGGATAGAGGATGGCCTGCAGACTGAAAGGTCCCAGGTTCGATTCCGGTCAAGGGCACAATACCTTGATTGTGGGCATATCCCTGGTGGGGGTGTGCAGGAGGCAGCTGGTTGATGTTTCTCTCTCATTGATGTTTCTAGCTCTCTATTCTTCTCCCTTCCTCTCTGTAAAAAATCAATAAAATATATATATATATATATATATATATATATATATATATATATATATATATATATTTAAAATTTAAACATTGTTATGAACTCTTCTTTTGCTGGGCTGAATAATAGCTATTCATCGCATGTCCCCCCCCCTGTTAATTTGTAGTTTGTCCTTCTGTTAATAGTCACCATCCTTCGCCCTGTTCTTAGACTCGTGACTCTTCTAGCATGTGACATATACAATCTCACAGAACAACAACAATTTCCACCATGCTCTGTTTATCTTCTACTTCCTCCCCACCCTGATATATATGGTCTTAAATTACTTTCACTACCCTTCCCCCACCTTCTCTCATCCTCCCTACCT